TAGAATTTTTCTACAATATTTAATTCAACTAAAATTAAATATTTAGCCATCAAAAATTCAGTCAAAACCGGGTCAAACCCAAGTTTTACAACTGATTTTTCCAACAGGTAAATCAATCGTCGATTGAAACTGAAAAACGACCTCGTTGTTGTCTTAAGGCTGAGAGTGCCGGTGAGGAATCGAAGCTGCGAAAATTTGCAAAAAAATGGCCCAATACTTGAGACCATAGCCGATGCCGGTTGATCCACCTTGCATTTTCTCATCAGATAATTTGAAGTGGTTGTGTGATCACTCTACTAGGAGTCGATTTAAATATTATAAGAGTTTGTAGTTGAAGTCCAAACCTTATTTCATATAAAAATATAATTAATTTCTTCAAATATAAATACGGATATGTGTACCATCGAGATCTTAAAAATTTACAATTCGTATCACTTTTAAACTTTTTAAAAAATGAACAAAAAAATATGAGATTTCATGTAATTTATACTTTATGGAAAAATATGTTCTTTTGTTGAAAAATTGATTTAAATTGAATATTTTGCAACACATTACATAACTTTTTTATGAGAGCTTATCAAATGAATATTTTTTTAAATAAAAATTAAATAAATTTAAAAATATAATATTACACAAGAAAAAAAAAACTAAAAAACCTACATTAAAAAAATGTAACAATCTAACTAAATGCTGAGTTTTATAATCACTAAATCGATTTACAATCAAGAGACCGAAAAAATAAATCATTTATAAATATTTTCAAAAACTCTAGAAATGTAAAATATTAGAATTATTAGTTGATTTTTAATAAATAAATAATGTTATTAATTTAAATTAAAATAGCATAAAAATAAGTTTTATTCATTAATATATTGTAAAAAAATTATTTTTTATACATATTTTATAGTATCATATATACATATATATATATATATATATATATATTGATTTTAAAAAAATCAAGGGGGCTCACGGGCCCCCTTGACCCAATATACCTTCGTCTTTGCTGCTAAACATATCTGAATTACTCATATCCCCTCATATATAATTTCCGAATGTCAGGCTCGCATGCTTCGGGATTCTATAATGCAAAATTTCATGCTTCAATATTTGTCTTGGATATATTTTAATTTACTTCCAAACAAAAAATAATCAAGTTCAAATTATCCATAAATGTTGATTAATGGTCATGCTACATGTATTAATTGCATTTTATAACATTTTTTATTATAACCAGTGTTCTAAAAGTCGTTAGGCGCCCGCTAGGCCCTCGACCAACGCCTAGCGCTTAGAGCGCCTAGGCGGGGCCTAGGCAGCACCTAGTCGAAGCCTAGAAATTAATATTAAATACTTTGTTTGTTATTTACTTTAACTACCTATAATATAAAATTATCTCAATTATAATAAATCGACACACCTAAGTCCAAATAATAAAATTAATATATTTTAAAGAACACATGAGAACAAAATAATGTAATTCGTATTTAAAAAAAAAAAACTGAAAATTGCCGCCGAGCCCACCTAGGAGCGCCTAGAGCCTATTCCCGCCTAACCGCCTGGCCGCCGAGCCCGCCTAGCCGCCTTGCCAATTTTTTCTGCCGATTTGTGCAAATCGGAGGCGCCCGAGCACCGCCTAGCGCCTAGGCCGATTTTTAGAATAATGATTATAACCATTAAATTGTAAGTGTGTTATAAAAGTTCTTTCTATTTTTTATCATTTTTAGATATATAATATATCAAATTAGTCATCTCCTGATAAACTTCGTTTGACATTCATATTGTATCTATAATATATATATATATATATATATGTATATATATATTTATCTTTATAATAATAATAATAAATTATTTGTCAATATAAACTAGAAAAAGAAAATTATTTATCAATTAATATATTTATGCTTCAAGTAGTTATATGATATAAGTTAAAAAAAAATCTATACTTATATAAAAAGTCATCCCATTTACTAGAATTAGTAGGAATAAAAGTCAACTCATAATTAATTGTACACCATATTTAGAAAGTTTTTAGATTTTTTAAATCATAAATAAGGTAGCATTAAATGTCCCTAAATTCATTTTTAATAAAAGCTGCATCCAAATTTACGTGTGGTTTTGAAGTGAAAATTTGAACTTCAAAATCTCTCTCACTTTAGTCACAAAAAAATCGGGTTGCATTCAACAATTGGACCAATTTAAAAATTATTCCTTAAATGAAAGAATTTATAGATAATTGTTATATCTACTTAATCACATGATTATTTTCAATATAAAAAAAGACATATTACAAAATAGTGAATCATATATTACCTAAATTCAATATCTTAACATTAAGGAATAAATTCATAGTATTATGTAAATCCGTGTCTCATATTATTATATCATTAAGAATATATTATAATTATATTATCATATCATAAAAAAAGTTATTAAATCCATATTGTAAAAAAAAAATAATTCATATAATTTTATAACAATTTTACTACACCATTTAACAATATTCCTTTTTATTATGTAATAAAATAATAAATAAATATTATATGGTGAACAAGAATAAATAAAACTGTTACTTTCACTTATATCAAGGGTGATATAGGATATTATACCTACACGGCTAAACCGGTCTATTGACCAGTCGAGGAGGTCGTATTACGAGGAAGTCAAGGAAATCGAGCAGTTAACCAGTCGACCAGCAAAGCTGTCGACCAAACTATCCTTCGACCAGATGAACGATCGAGCAGTTCAGTCGGCCTCGATAGGTCGACCGCTTCGAGGACTTAACACCACGCCGATCGACCTAGTCACAGGCGCGTGAAAGAGCCTCTAACTGAATTCCAAGAGAATATTTACCCCATGTGCAGGGGGACACGTGTCGAGAAGGCAGTGGTTGATAGCAGTAACCACCTCTGACAGCCTACCCCATGTGCAGGAGAACACGCGTCCAAAGGGTATTGGTGCAGGCGATAGTGGCGACGACTACCTCTGACACACGCGTATGGTGTGTACGGACGGGCAGTTAGGGCAGACAGCTCATCAAATCCGGACAGCCCTAGGTCAGGTATCTCACCCCTATATAAAGGGGGTGAGCCCTTCTTCTTCATACGATCATTCTATTCTTACTCTTGAGAATTGATTGAAAATACACTGACTTAAGTTTCAGAGGCTCTTCACCGGAAAACCCCTCCGGTGTGGGAGTTCTTTGTAGGTGCACGACGTTCAATCGGCGAGAAGGAAGACGATTATTCAAGTTCCAGCCGGTCAGGAAGTTTTGTGTTACCAAAGGGCAACATTTATATGCTAAAATTTAATTTTTATTAGTATATATATTTTAGTGAGGTAATATATTAATTATTTTACAACTTAGCTCTAACATGCTCATATTTAATGTTCTGGCTAAAAAAAGAATGATGGTTAAAAGATGTGGAAAAAAAGCTTATAACTCTATTGTTTTTAGATTTAACGTTGATTAAAAGAGGTAGAAAATAGACCCTATTACTTTTTAGGCTTAAACGGACAAGGTTGTGAAAACAACTTATTTAATATCTCTGTCACGTGCATCGCACGAGGTACATACTAGTTATTAGAATATAACATACGTATGTCGCACAAGTAATAAATGTCACTCTAAAATATATAATAATATATTTTTTTGAAAAAAGTATTGAAATTTTAATACACTTTTTCTTATAAATCTAAAATTTAAAATATACTCTCCTATTTTTTTTAAATGTCATTATAGCTTTATCAACTATTTGTCAAATAAATGTCGTTTTAGATTTTTTGTACATATTTTTCCATTATTACGCTCATTTAGCCAATAAATACATTGCGTCTTTTCATATTCACTCTTCACTTATTCTCAAAACATTCATCTCCATCTTCATTAAATAAGATTATTACTGACAAAAAAAATATTCTTAATTAACGTGCAACTTCTCAAAACGACATATATTAAAAATAAGAGGTAGTATTTTTTTAACAAGCACGTGTGTAATACATGAGTGTTGTACTAATTTGGTGTTATATGATAAAAGAAATTAACCAATCTGTAAAAAAGTAATTAAATTTTAATACAACTTAAAATTTCCAAGAACACCAATTTCGTCCAAATCTCAAGAAGTGGGCATTTTCAAAATATGCATTCATTATAACCTAATCTGTAATTTGGGAGGTCATCACAAACTTCGTGCTCCCATCACACTATAATCACAGCAAATATGTTCAACCAAAGTCTGAAACATTATGGTGAAAAAGATAATAATGTGTGAAAATTAAAAACCAACAGTATATACAGAAGGCCTCGCACTTCGATCACAGACCAACTATTCAACCGAAAACTAAAGGGAAAAAAAAAATTAAATAAAAATAAATGAAAACACTATATACAAGACCAGGGCTAATCTTCTGCATCATTGTCCCAAAACAGTTGTTTCTCAAGTGCCTCAAGTTCCCATACAACATACCTAGGGTCACCTTTAAGAGTTTGTGTCAAAATCCATGTAGTAAAAAAGTGCATGTAGTTCTCACTAATGCTAGTATTAAAGCCGAAGATTAGCAACTGAGAAATTAGTTTTCATCTGACGTGCAAATTACCAATAACTTTTCAATCTGAAAGCAACTCATCCAACTCAGGCTCATCAGACGACAAATTTTCATATTCCAAGCTTGTCTCGTTGTACAAAGTGTTACCCTGCTGACTTGTATCATCTTCCTCGTCAGGGTCTGACCAGTCAAGATCATCGTTCATATTTTGATCCTCAGCGGCTAAATCCACATCCCTTCTCATCGGGACAGATCCCTGGCCAGTTTCCTTTGAAATTGAGTCCATCTTCATTTCGGTCTCTGATTTCTCACAAATACAAGCAGCAGGGTTCTCATGAAATGCACCCCTGCCCGGCCGCACTTCCTTAGGATTCCCCATGAAACCCCTCTGAAACGTACGAACTCGCGAGGAAAATTCATCCCATGTCATATTTTCTCGGTTTGCAAATAGCCTGTTCAGTTTTTTCGCATTTGGCCGGATGGTTGGTTTGTGCCCAAAATATCTCCTGCAAAATGCATGGATAATAGCAAGAAATTACTTTTTTCCCTTGAAAATCCATCACAACTTTGCAAAGAAAGATTGAAATCTGTTCTTAATTCAGGAGCAAAGGAAAAAAAAAAAAAAAAAAAAAAAAAA